AAAAATATAAAAAAAAACTAACACAATAATAAAAATTCAATTTGTATTAATATACAATTTAAATTGAAATTTAATTCTATAAGGTCAGGGGTGGGCTTTGAATATTGATCCCCTTAGAAAGTAATTATGCTAATGTTTAGAATAATCTATGTTGCATTTTAAAACAAGGAATATTTTATTGAAGCAAGAGCAGAGGACATATAGATACATAATCATGGATTTTTTCATATTTTATATATATATATATATATTGCAAGAACGAGCAGAACAAAAGTTTTTAACGAAAATTTATCAAGGACAAACGGATTCAGAAGCTTATTTAAAACATAGCAATTTTAATGAAATATTTCTGAAGTACCATCAAATCCATCAGCGTGGATGTTTTATGGTATATTTTCTGAAGGACTGCCAGAGCTATAATTGTGAATTTTTTAAATAATATTTTTATCAAGGATTACCATATTCAGGAGCGTGGATTTCAAAAAATAAATAAATAAACAAAAATATTTTAAAAACTACAATTCAAACATAAATATATATTTGGCTTTTAAATTCCACTTTCTGAAGACAAAGGGTGACCAAAGTCTGAATTTTTTGAAAGAATATTTTTGAGGACGAGGAGAACCTGAAATTCGTCTTAATATTTTCTGAAGGTCGAGAATCGTCGATTTTCTAAAGAATAGTTGTTAAAACTAATTAAGATATAGACCTGGATATTCAAAGATTATTTTCCAAGGGCCTTTACGCTATAATGGATTTTTAAGAATATGTTCTTGTTGACGAAGAAAGATAGATACATGGATTTTTTAAGAAGATTTTTCTGAAGGTCGAGGAGATGCAGAAGTGTGCATATTTTAAGTACAGTGCTGTGGAACGAGAACAAGCAGAAATGTTGATTTTTTAAGGATATTTCTGAAGAATGAAGAAAATCAGACAAATGAATTATTTCATAGACAATTTTCTGCAGGTCGAAAGGAGCTGAAGATTGGATTTTTAAAATAGTAGTTTTTCAGGACTATTCTAGTTGTTAATGTCTTTTTTTAAATACTGTAAAATTTTCAATAATAGAAATATTTGGATCAAATTTTGAGGAATTATTCTTGATGGGTTTTTGCTCATTTTCGATGAGAAAATTGTAATATTTCCATATATAAGTTTTAGAAGTTTCTAAAATTATTACCTACGTAGATGAATAATCTTGGTTTTCCTTCGGTATAAGGCGACTAAAACAATGATTATTCTCGCCTGTGGCTTTGAACCCCCTTATTATAAATCCACTTTTTTGCTGATAGTTCTCAAGGCTTATAGTTTCGGTAGTTCAGAAAATATTCTTCAAAACATCAAAATGTATGCTATATATCACATAGTCCATGAAAAATAAAATAAAAAATACTCGCTCAAGGATCGGAGGTTGCATTTATTTTCATGTTTAAATAATATTTCCTAAAGGGCCATCGGAGCTGTCAACTTGCATTAGAACTACCAAAGCCAGAGGTATGGATTTTAAAATTTCAAATCCAAGGTAAAATTCGTTTTTCCTATGCCCACCTGTCGTTATAGCTAGTATAGAGATTTTCATAGACATATCGGTCCTTGCCCAAATAATCTTTATAAATTCAAGACTTTTATAGACCCTAAAAAATAATCTTTAAAAATTCAAGAATTTTGTAGACCCTAAAAAATAATCTTTTAAAATCCAAGCTTTTTATAGACCCTAAAAATAATCTTTAAAATCCAAGCTTTTTATAGACCATAAAAATAATCTTTACAAATCCACGCCTCCTATAGAACCCCAAAAAAATAATCTTTACAAATCCACGCCTCCTATAGAACCCCAAAAAAATAACCTTTAAAAATCCACACCAAAAACTAACTAACCAAAAATTAACCATATTTGCTGATATTTGAGTTCTTGAATGATATGATTACCTTTATTATAGAATTTTTTGTATTTTGATGATCGTAATTGATGTGACTTTCAATACGTAATTCAGATTTTCATAAAATAACAGACAATGTCCCGGGAGCTGTTCAATACAGGTCGATGTTTGAAATATACCCCATATAAAAATTACAACCCATTTTCCAAATTATATAGTCCTGTTTAGACAGATCTTAAATTTTTAGATCTCAAATTATTTTTAATCTGGGTCCGTTTTAGACATTTTGGTGACTCTATATGGTTTTCCCAACCGAAAATTTTTTCATGTCCGCATTTTGACATAGATTTATGTAGGATCTACGTCAACATATTCCGACCTAATTTAGACATGTGGCACCGTAAGTATTGAGTGGTCAGAAAGAGCTAGCTGTTTTCTCCAAACAGTGTTTTTGCGAATGGCGGGCACTATAACTCAAAAACTAATAACACAATCGATTCCAAATTTTTACACGTTTCTCTGTGAGCTTTTTTGGGCCTTTACACTCAATGGTTTCATTTTAGTTCTTCACATTGAGAAAAAATGTGGCCTCAAATGTGGGCATTAAATTTAGTAAATACATTACAAGATCCCATGTGCGGATTTTTCCAATACTTAATTCCATTTTTATGACCCTGTAGTCAAGCAGAGAACCATGTATCTCTATGTCACCACCTATTTTATAGCAAAAATGGTACTAGATAAAATGTCAACAACTTCCCTTTATTGCGGGAGTATGTAAACGTTGTAGACTTTATCTGTAGTGTATTTGTGGCAACATTGTCAACGATCGCGTCAACAGTTTTTTACCGTTAGACTTTGATGTCAATAGATACACATTTTTTGATGTTTGCTTTGCTTCTCATTTCATTAGTTTCTTTTGTGAAAAACACACGTGTTGCTTGAAATTGTGCATTGTGCGAAAAATATTGTTGGAGTTATTGTGCGAATAAGGTATTTAAAGTGATTACAAATAAAAAAAATTATAAAATATGAGTAAAAGACAAAATATAAGTAAAAGACATTATAAAAGACTTGTTAAAAAACAAGCCACAATCTATATAAACAGAAGTGTACAAAATGAGCAAGAAAATGGTGAATGTGAAATTCTAGAAGACCATGAAGATTTTGTGGAGAATTCGGAGGATTGTGCTATTCCGAAATTGACGTTGCGGGACAAATTGAGGAAGTGGTACATCGCAACAGCTCCTTCTAGGAAATGTGCGGAGAAGCTGCTATTAATACTAAATGAGGAAGGTCTAGATGTTCCACTTCGTATAGAAAGTTTGTTGGGAAAAAAAGCACAGGTTTTGGTGAGAAATGTTTGCCCTGGAAGCTACTGCCACATTGGAATTGAAACGCAGCTAAAGAAGTTTGAACACGTTTTGCAAAACTACGACGAGGTCGTTTTGGATATAAACATTGACGGGATTCCCCTGTTTAAAAGCTCGCGAGTCCAATTGTGGCCAATTCTTTGTAAAATAGTCAACATAAAAGAAAAAACTCAACCTTTTGCTGTTGGTATATACTTGGGAACCACTAAACCGAGTTGCATTAAAGATTATTTAAAAGACTTCGTTAAGGAAGCAACTTCATTAAAGGAAATTACGTTAAATGGAAAAATAATGAAATTAAAGTTTCGTTGCTTAACATGCGATACTCCAGCCAAAGCTTTCATTTGCGGCGTTCCTGGGCATACCTCAAAGTATGGTTGTACGAAGTGCACACAGGTTGCGACAAAAGTGAACAATGTACTGACATACAGTAGCGCTGTTGGAACTTTGATATCCGATATTGATTTTACTTTGAGAAAGTATCCCAACCATCATTCTGAACTGTTTAAGAAAGAGAGAAGTCCGCTTGAAGAAATAGGATTTGGCATGGTATCACAGACTCCGTTAGATAGCATGCATCTTATTGACCTTGGAGTCACAAAAAAAATGCTTGTTAGAATAGTGAACAACAAAACACAAGAAAAGACTCAAAAAAAAAAAAAATATATCAGAAATATCTTCTGACCTAGTGAAACTAAAAAAATGTATTCCAAAGGAGTTTCCTAGAAAACCTAGGTCTTTAGATGACCTTCATCACTGGAAAGCGACTGAATTTCACCAGTTCCTCGCATATACGGGCATAATTGTCCTTCATAATAAAGTACACCAGGATATATTCTACGAGTTTTTAACTTTACATTGTGCTTATCGGCTACTTAGCTCCCCGCGACACGTTGCTGAAAATATTAAACAGTCTAATGATTTGCTTCAATTATTTGTCGAGAATTTCTCAACTGTATTCGGGCCAAACAGTGTTTCTTTTAATGTTCACAATCTGCTGCATTTGGCTTCTTGTGCAGAAAAATACGGCCCCCTTATTTCGTTTTCTGCATACGACTTCGAAAACAAATTGCAGATTTTGAAAAGACATGTCCGAAAACCCTCATTAATCCTTCAACAAATTGTACGAAAAGAAAAACTCGCAGCCTATATTCAAACTAAAAACGATGACATTAAATACGAACGAGATATAATTGTAGGAGCTTTTGTTAATGACTGTTACATATCTTGGAAGGAGCCCGATAATATTTGTTCCACGACTTCATTTACTGCCATAAAAATTGAAAATATAAATCAAGTCGATTAAGTTTATATTGAAGGTCGGGCATTGCTGCTCTTAGAGAGTTTTTACGATGAACCCGTAAATTCTTGCGAACTAGGCATCTTCAAAACAAATTTAGCTTTGGGCGAAAAGCAAAAATTTTCAATTAGAGATGTGCAATATAAATTTGTATGCCTGCCATTTCACTCGGATTACGTAATAATACCCATTTTACACTCATGCATTCCAGAAAAAGTACAAGCCAATATTCCAAGATCTTCCAGTAAATAGCACATTGTTAATATTAATTTTGTACACCCGCTCTACACAACAATGTCTGACGAAAGAGCAATACCATCCAAGGGAAAAATGAAATATTATTCTTCAGAAGGTAAGTTTTAATATAACGAATTCGCATTACCGAAATTGTATTCATTACAACATTATATATTTTTCCAGCAACTTCAAAGTATACTTCGTGTGAAGATATAGGAAAAAAAATGGACACGATACTGCAGATTTTGGGCGAGCATAAAATTTTGCTAGATCGCATTGGTTCCCAAAACTCGATTGTGCAAAACATTATGGCCATCTTCCCAATAAACACGGACGAAAGTCTAAAGCAATTAGAAGACTTATTAGCAACTCAGTCAGACCCATATGTAAGCTTTTTGTATTCAGGAAATAGAATGTATAATTAATTAATAAAATTTATAATTATTCTTGCAGATTCGCCAAATGAAAAATCTCATTGGTGGCAACGTCGCACGCAATTTACACCTTGTATTTGGGAAATCTATTATAATGAATTACAATGTGGATGGAACTTTTGGCAAGAAAAGTTTATCTAAATATGGAAAAGTCCATGCAGCAATAATAGGTACAAAGCCAAAAAACCTTTCAAAAATACCAATAATTAAATTTAATCTTTTTGTTTCAATACTTAGATGTAATATCAACGTACGACAAGTGTGCAGACAAGGCTCTAAGAACAGCTTTTCAACGTCAAAAAAAGAAATTCTTTAAAGAAAACAGCCGCAGGAATGCAGAAATAAATGATAAGACCAAAGAAAATGAATTTAATTAATTTAATCTTTATGTACATATATATTTTTGCCTTGTGTTTTTTCTATTGTAAGACTGAAGAAAATGAATTTAATTAATTTAATCTTTCTGTACATATATATTTGTCCCTTATGTTTTTTAATTGTAAGACTGAAGAAAATGAATTTAATTTATTTATTCTTAACTGTAAAGCTGAAAATGAAATTAATTGATTTAATCTTTATCCAGATATACATTTTTCGCTTATGTTTTTAATTGTAAGACTGAATTGAATTGCTTTAATCTGTGTATTTATTTAATAATATATATATTTATATATATAGAATAATTAATGACATTAAATAAATCATATGAATTCATAACTAATTTTCTTTTCAATTTGAATACAATGTCGTTGGTAATCTACTACAATTCACAATAATATTGTAGACTCAATCTGCTAAGAAGTACTAGTGAATCTTTGGTGTCAATGTCGCCATATGGCGTCAAAGTTAATACCTAGTCAGTAGAACTTCTGTCTACTGGTGGATTTCCTATGACATGGTAATGTTAATTGTCAATAGAAGATTACATTAAGTTGGGTACACTTAGTCAGTAGTACTAACGACAATGTCAGTATAAAATTACTACAATTTTACTATTTCCATTCCCTACAGGGGAGATTTGATAACATTCAGAGAGGGGTCTCAGAAGTAGAAGCTTGGTTACAATTTTTTTTGATTTGGAAATTTGTGTTCAAAATTGATTCAAAATTTTAACAATGTGTTGGAGGATGATCTGTAGTCTCCATCTCTATAGCTCTATAGACCACAAAAAGAAATCATTTACTCTCTTCGAGAGATTTCGTGGTCACCTGCCAACCATATTTGTAAATTGACTCCAACTTATCCAAAGAAACATGGGGTCTAAATCCAATATTTTGATGAAGCACATTTTTCTTTTGCAATGTGTAAATGCCCTCATTAGCAATAATATGACATTTACATTAGAACTTTTTACCGGGTTAACCTACTTTATGAGGTTTTATTTGGCATATATTCAACGGAATTGAAAACTTAAACCCACTGGGTTAACCAAATCCGGTTCAATGTAAACGACCTTTAAGGCTGATGGTATTAAACATATTTGAGATTTATGAATTTCCCCATTTATTGTCAAATTCCACCACGATATTGTCCATCTATTGGGTGGTCTTCTGTCAAAACCAAAATATCGTAACTCCACTATAACTTCGAAAGAAAATTGACCGAAATTCATCTTCAATAGAATTTCACTTTTGATTTTACCCCATATGGGCGTTATCGCACGATTTGAAAATTTTTAAAACGGATTTGCATTTATTTGTCATTATATTTATCGAATAGCCTACAATATGCATACATATTGATATTATCTCAGGCTATCTTATCGTATATTTCGAAGTTTTCATCATACAATGAATTGCTTAATATCATGTAGGATATGAGAGTTTAAAGCTCGTTTTTCCATCTTTCAGTTATTTAGTTATAATTTCTAAATGACTGCGTCAAATACCACACAATGATGCAGTTATTTGAAATTTGAAAAAATAAACATGATAAGCAATTCATAATCATTGAATAACCCAGCGGGATTTTGTGGTATTTATGTGTTTAACGTTGTAGACCGTTTTGTACGGGATATTTAAATTGAAAGTATTAATAAAAAATCATTTTTATTTTTTTACTTCTCAGCACGACAATTTTGTAGTGTGTGTGTTTCTTTTAAGAAACAATGAGTGTTTATTTTATTGTGGCTGTTGTATTTCTCATTGACTTTGCCCCATGTGACATGACAAGAAAACAAAAAAAACTTTGATCGATTTCAGCTAAACTTTCTTTTAACAAGACACATTTCTGTCGTCTCGCCTCATTTGAAGAAATTAAATAAATTTTCTTGCTTCACCCCAGCCAGCCAGCCCTCCAGACAGTCAGTCACTCGCTGCCAGCCGGCTGACTGCTTTGCAGGAACACTTAATGTAACTAATTAATTTTCACACAAACAAATTCACATCCATTCAGAAGAGACAAATTGAATAGTCTTGTCGCGAGGTTTCAATGGTTAATAGGACTGGAATGTAGCAATCATTTCAATGTCCCCCCTTTTTTTGGTTTTTGTCAAAAATAGAAATTTGTCATGTCATACTTGTCATCTATTAGTTCTACCCAAAAAAATAAAATGTTGAGTAAAATATATTTTTAAAAACATTATGTAAAATTATAGTACTTTGAATGATTAAAGGTTGGGCGTAGATATTTCTTGGTAAAAATATAAATTGTTTTAATAATTTAGATGAATGGGGGTAATATTAAGTTGATTAATTAAATTGACTGAATTGAATGACAATCCAAATATTATAGAACAAAATATAAAACCAGTGAGTGGAGTAGTATAGTCGGAAGGGATCGACCATATGATACCCTACACAACTACCACAAAAAGCAAACTTTCTGCGGTTCTATATTTTGATCCTGGGCAATATTTCGTGATATTTGCACCCTTTTTACCGATTATAGATCAATAACTCCAATTTCTAAGCTTAGCATATTTTCTTTCTTGAAGTGATTTTTTTCGCCATAAAATAAAAAATTGGTCACTTTAGGTTTTGGTTGATTTGACCCTCGGAATATTGACCGATCATCATCTAAACAGCCGCTCTAAGTATTTGGTCAGATCCCCTTCACCTTGTAAAATATGCGATGTTCTGCACATATGTTCTGCATTGCCTCAGGAGCGACTAGAAAATCTGACAAAATTAAAGTTTTCGGTTCAATGCACACCCTGAATGAAATCTCAACTTCACCGAAAAGTATAAGCGTCGTCCTTGACCATAATCGGAACTTCATGTAAAATTTCAAAGAGATCAACACGACATTTCCGTCTGCTAATGGAATAAGAGTAATACTATGCACATAGTCACCTTTACCTAATTACGTATAACTGCCACATCGGAGTACATACAGCCATATAATTAGTATCAATTTGAAGGTCAAAAGCACCTCTTGGATATACTATCAACTTCCAGGGTATATGTCCTTCAGGAGCAAGTATATACGCCCCAGAATAAACATTTTGTAATTTTTCACACAAAAGTCAGTGTCCATTTCACCCGCTAAATATTGGCCGATCTTTATCAAAACAGGCATGCTTATTCTTTGGCCCGATCCCCTTCTCCATGTAAAATTTCACGATGTTCGGACCATAATTGTGGCCTCTGGAGCGACCAGAAAAACCGACAAAAATTAAGTATTTGGTCCATTTCATCCCCTAAATATTAACCGATCTTTACCAAAAACAATATGGTTTTTACAAATTGTATGGTGTTTACAAATTATAATGGACAGACGGACGGACGGACGGACACACATGTCTAGATCGTCTCAGCTAGTCGAGATATGACGATTGGTATACTTAAAGGTGGGTCTAGGACTAATATTTCGCGGCGTTACAAACTTTTGGGGCTGCACAAAGCTACAATACCCTGACAACATAGTTGTGTTGGGTATAAAAATTAAGTTTTCGGTCCACTTCATTCCAAAATTATTATCTGATCATCACCGAAAATTATAGCCGTTGTCCTTGACCATAACTGGAACCTCATGGAACATTTCAAAGCGATCAGCGCTATAGTTCCGCTCTCCAAAGTGATAATGGGTTACTAAATAATATACGAATACGGAGATACCTGTAAATATTTAGATGTAACTCTCACATTTGAGCACATACAACAATATAATTGGTCTTAATTTAAAGGTCACCCAATCCTCTTGGATATAATATCAACATCTCGGCTCGATGTCCTTCAGGAGTAAACATATACGCCATAGAATACAAATTTTGTAATTTTTAACACAAAAGTCGGGGTCCATTTGACCCGCTAAATAATAACAGATCTTTATCAAAACATACATGCTTATTCTCTGCCCCGATCCGCTTCTCCATGCAAAAATTCGCGGTGTTTGGGCCATAATTACGGCCTCTGGAGCGACCAGAAAAACTGACAAAAGTAAAGTTTTTGGTCCATTTCATCCACTAAATATTAACCGATCTTTTCCAAAAACAATAGGGGTCATTGGCCAGAACCCATCCTACATGCAAAATTTCGTGAAGATTGGTCCATAACTGTGGCCTGTGTCGTGTTTACAAATTATAATGGACAGACGGACGGACGGACACACATGTCTCAGCTAGTCGAGATATGACTATCGGTATACTTAAAGGTGGGTCTAGGACCAATATTTCGCGGCGTTACAAACTTTTGGGGCTGCACAAAGCTATAATACCCTGACAACATAGTTGTGTAGGGTATAAAAACACGCCTACATAGTTGGTCTGGAAAAATATTAAACCAGTAAGGAAAGTTCAAAAGTCGGGCGGGCCGACTATATGATGATACCCTTCACCACTTTGGGTATATTCAACAGATGAATCCTAACAGACGTCGAATTTTTGTAGGATCATTAACATGAAAATGTATGCATAAGCATGTCATTCGGCAACCTATACAAGTTTTTTCATTGGGTCAGATATACGGTTGCTTCTTACAATGGGACAAAATTATCTAAATCAAATGAAATAGTTGTGCATATCGGCTACATTTTGAGTTCTTGGCGCATCATGTACTTAAAATCGAGAGAAAATATATATAGGAGCTCTATCCAAATCTGAACGGATTTCAAAACTTTCCACACGCTAGGTTATATTAACTTTAGTGCGTTGTGCACAATTTTGTGTCATTTACTTAAAATCGGACGAAACTATATATGGGAGTTATATCCAAATCTGAACCGATTCTTACAATACTTAGCACACGGTACGCTATACTAAATTCAGTACATTGTGCCTAACTATGGGTCTTTGGTGAACCATTTACTTAAAATCGGACGAAACTATATAGGAGCTATATTTAAATCTAAAGCGATTTCAACTAAACTTGCCACACGTTATGTTATAGTAACTTCAGTACGTAGTGCAAAATTTTGTACCGATTGGACCCACCTTGGTAAAGCATTTATATCCAACTTCAAGGTTAAACTACAGTTCATTGAACAA